GTTTTGTGTAAGGTTTTGTGATGGTCAAAGTGTTAACATGTCAACTCAGAGCTCTCATGAATGAATCATGCAGATATCGAACGTAATACTAGCTGATAAGAATAAGGATATCTTCATTATGTCGAATGGAGGTGGGCATAGAATTACCCAGTGGAATATCTCCCAGCGTTAAAAATACCATCTTAATAAAAAATTAAACTTAATGTCTCCTAATCTTGGGGAATATCCAGTCGGCCCTGCTGATTTTATATTGTTTACCTACTTCAGCAACTAGCGACTATCATGCATAATCTCTGGTCCACACCAGGATATCATTGAATCCCAACGCAGATAGGGTAGAATAGAATTTCCTTATAACGTGTCTCCCCCATCCAACGACACACATGTCACAGGTTGGCCAAAGGTAACAAAAGTATATTCCTTATTACACACAACAGCAAATTGGTACTCTGACGCTCCCCTTTCCTCCTCCTGCTGACAGCACATGAACTCATAAGTGTGCTATCGTCCAGGAGACAGAATATATAAACTACTGAAGCTGTGTTTCGTATTCTTGTAACCTGAAATAATAAAAACATCCACTCAAAATTTGGACCTGCTTAGCAATCATAGTTGTGTGTTATTTTATATTTGCTTGTAAATTTTGGATTGCTTATAGCCGTGATCAAATGCATCTGTTACTCATTGTGTGAGAAAAGTCAACCCCATTAGCCCCTCACCCTCCTCTCACGCCTCTCGGAGATTAGGATGACAACAGGACACATTGACACTTGGTTAGTTAATCTACCACATTCAGGGCATATATTTAATAACAGAAATGTAAAGGAACTATATTATACATATTTGAAAGTCCATATCTAGGTAAAACACCCTATATAAACTGGAGGAGTGAATGCTTCAGATGTGGGTTCATACTCTCGTGGTTTATGACTCTCGGAGGCTAGGATTGACAGCGCTGACTGTAGCAAGTGGAAGTGTGGGAGGGTGTACAAGTACAGTTCTGTTCAGAAGTTCGTTACACACCCTTGGTAAAGGGTGCATAGCCTGTTGCACTCTTCCTGAACGTCATGTCACTATGCCGACCCTCTCGCCAGCATACAGAGAAGAACTGACAGCGAAACAGTTTAATTCGAACGAAGACTCATCAAAAAGAGATGAGAAGAATATTAATATGAATATCGGGCAACGTTAGTGCTTATGAAAAGGAGAAAACCGTAGTGATAGGAGTATCCATTCCAATATCAGAATACAATGGGGATATCGGTTTCGAATGAATATTATAAGAATTAGTTGAACAGAGATCATATATCAATATTCTTCAGTGTATTCATTACTTGAAGTTTTCCGTATAACGTTCTCTCTCTCTCTCTCTCTTTCATCTTCGACACACTGAAACACTCCGACACAAGTGGGTTGTGTGTGTGTGTGTGTTTTCCACCGAGATGTTGTTGTTACTTGCCGCTGATGAGAGTGATCAGAGGTCGCATTTAAGTAGACATTGGTAACCAATAATACACAGACTACAATAAATACATACACAATATGTAGAGGAAAAAATATGTTCATAATCTATTCAGGCTATTGTGGATGGATGTTGGGGGTAGTAGCCCAGTCATTCATGGTCTTATTGTGAGTTGCTTGGCGGACACCAAAGAAAACTAACATTTTTGTTTTTGTGTTTCCTGCTGTAAGGAATAGTTACCGGGTGAATATAATATAATATAATATAATATAATATATTCCCATTATTGGTATTCAATATAAAAAATATAAAAAAATTACTAATAGCAGAGGGAAGTGGTAAAGACAACTACCCCTTGGTCTCTCCGGACACATAAATAGATCGACGATAAAAACAAACCGATATATTAAATACTGTATTGAACACAGCTAACAATTTTGTCATTTGATACTTAAATGCTTAGGCAGTAGGTCTGTTGTAACGCCATCTCGATTGCCAATGAGTAACCTGACACTGAAAATAGTGATCGCACACTGCCATCCTTGGATTAACTTCTTCATACATATTGCACCTTACAGATTTTGCCTGAGATACTGATATACGAACATTTTCCCAAGCTGTATGCGCATCCAAGTTTTCATTTCTTATCAAGTCTCTTGTATTATCCGTTTGGTGTATTAGTGTTGGTTATAACAGTGATCACAAACGATAATGGGTCGTCAGTGAGGACTGCTCTCTTAGATTACATGTGAAAGAAAACTAAGTATGGCAGTGAAAGGTTAACTCATTTTGTATAACTATCACCCACGGTAACTTTCCATGAGCAGTGAGATGTCATGCAGTGATCATGTGGTCCATTCATTGAACACATGATAGGTAACTTTCCACTGGAGGGCGCGTCTCTATTAGACCTTAGGTAAGCTATAAGAAGCCGGCTATTTGCCCTCAGTGATCACTCAGTCTTCATTCAACCCTCACGATAAACAAGTTTCACAGACAGCTTTCCGACTGTTTCTAACATCCATAGCTCAATTGAGATAGTTGCTGTGATATCCTTTTTGAAAGTGTACATAGAAACCCTTTTTATAATAAACACAGAAAAGGAACATATTGGGTTTCACTACAGAAAACCCATATTCTAGCTCCATTACCTAATCGTAGAATTAATAGATTAAAGATCTAGTTCACCTGTTAGTTGTTATAATGCCCAATTCTACAGCGGCAGCACTGTGACGAGTGTGAGTGGCATGAGTGTGACCTTGATCCCTTCTCTTACTACCCTAGTTGTGTCGTCGATCTCAAGCAAGTCGGACATGCTCACTGGCAGCTATTGTATTAGAGTGTTTTCTCTTTTGTTCGTGATAATGACAGATATTGTTTTAGAACAAAGATTGAACATCAAATTTTTCGTGAAAAAGGGGGAAACATCAGTTTACAAGCGGATTCAGCGAATTTCTGAGGGAAGAGAAGACGATGACGATGGCAGAGAAGGACGACCAACAACGAGCAGGACTGAGGAAAACATTGAACAAAATTAGGAAAGTTGTGTGAGCTAACAGGCAGATGAGGTGCATGTTGACAGGGAAACAGAAAGGCTTTGACTGAAGATTTGAAGTTAAGAAAATTTTGTGCTAAAATGTTGCCGAAAAATCTTAGTGTTGAACAAAAACAAAGGAGAGTTGAAATTTGCTCGGACCTTGTAACAGCACCATTTGCATTTTATAAATATTTACCTAAATGTATAATACCAAATTATTCACTAAGTTATTCAACAATGACTCAGTAGTTGCTCGTGTTATACATTCTGAGACTATAACTTCATCAGGAGTCAGGGGAGGTCAAACCCACTATCACAACCTTTTGGAAAGAGAAGAAGCTGGAGATGACTTATTTCACCGAGTCATTACCGGTGATGAGCTATGGGTCCACCGATACGACCCTGAAACGAAACACCAGAGCTATCAGTAGAAAACTGTAAACTCGCCGCGCCCCCAAAATTGTCGCATGTCAAAGTCGAAAGTGAAGACAATCCCCATCACTTTTTTTTTATTCTTCTGGTGTGGTTCACAAAGTATTTGTTCCTCCAGGGCAGGGTGTGAACCAGTTTTACTATCTTGACGAGCTTAAAACACCCAGAGAAAAAGATAGACGAAAACGCCCAGAATTTTTCGTTCCTTATTCACTTGACCCCGTGTGACTTTTTTCTATTTCCTTCATTCAAGAAACACATCAAGGGGACGCATTATTAAGACGTGGATGGCATTGAGAGTAGCACGACGGCAGCTATAAAAACTATTCCAGAAAATGAGTTCCATAAATATTTCCAGGGGTGGAAGAAACACTGGCGTTCATGTTCAGCCCCGACTTCCATTTATACACCTCGATCATATCGCCCCTCACTCTACGTCTCTCAAGGTAGTGCAAATTAAGATACTTTATTCTGTCTCTGTACTCAAGGTTCCTAATGCCCGGGATTAGTCTTGTCATCCTCCTCTGAATGATTTCTGAATGATTCTATAGTATGGTGACCAAAACTGAACCGCGTAATCCAAGTGAGGTCTCACAAGTGCTAGTCTTGTAACTAACACTCCGTTGTATGAAGCCTTGTTTCGAGTAAATACTCATTTTTGTCTGTTTTAGATTCCTACTTATCATAACTCTTAAATCTTTCTCACAGTCGGATTTCTCTTATAAAATCGTTGTTCATCTGATATCTGGTTTTTCTGTTTACATCTCCTAGACTAAGTACTTTACATTTGTCCATATTAAATTTCATCTACCATTTTTCAGACCATGCGAAAAATTGTGTGCGAGTTGTCGGTATCATGCATGCGGAAAAAATCATGTACAGGTACAAACTCAACAGATAATCTTACGCCGCGCACTTTATTTTTACAGTCTCCTATATTGTCAACTACGGTGACAACATCATTTTCATTTCAAATAAACTCCTCAGGTAAGGCAGACAGTGTTTAAACTCCGGAAAAAAACAACTTTTCTTATAATACACTTTACACTATGTACCCATCAAAAGTGTTCATTAAACACTTCAGCTGTTACAAAAGACGATTGTCATATTCTGCTGGAGCAAAATTTCGTAATATATCCTTTCTTAGCAACTTACTCTTGGATACCTCAAAGAGGAGTTCTGAAGGTTGGCGACCGCGACCCACTATTGGCGACCGCGACCCACTACTCTGAATAATTTTGAACTTTCTTTACCAATCCTCCCAGAATTTGTATGTCTCTGGGAACTAGACCTATTTATTTAAGCCATCCATCCTAATCTCAGCCATCTCCCAACCCTCCTACCACCAATCTAATTATTATTATGTTTAACAATTCCCCCCGTCTATTGCTAGATGACCAAAGTGTCTCACTTATTGAATTCCCTCTTCATTTGTTTTTTCAACCGGTGTAATTTACCTTTAGCATTCATTTTAGGCAAACCGTAACCCTGCTCTGTGGAGGTGATAATAATGACTTTTCCCTAAAATTGTACGTCGGATGGGGTGACAAGTAAACTTAGTAAGCACAAATGAAATTGGTGAAGACAGTGGTACACAAATATTTCACTATTCATCTTTGTGTTTTCTTACATGTACTGGTGCTGCAGCTTCAAAAACGTCTACAGCAACCAACTACCATACCATCGATATCTTCACCACACAACCCTGACGACTACGTCAACTTCTACCAGCTGGTGGCTTTAGAGGACCAACGCTCGCCCAACGACTTCTTCCAGCGCTCCCTCTTGGCCACCTTTCTACTAAAGGTGCTTCAGCGAGCTAACTTTTTCGGCAAGTGGGATGATGAAGGTAATGCTTCAACCACGTTTATATTTTCCGCTTAAGAAATATCGTTTAGATCTATAAGTCAGCTATATCTGTGACATGTCTGTGGAGGAGCTATGTGAATTACAAATCTATTAGGCAGTAATTTGAGTGAATGGACTGTTATGGGACATTTATAGGAGTGATGTCTATGGAACATCATATGAGTGGTAAGGGTAGTTATATGCGTGATAAGTATACTGGACAGTTTTGTGAGTGACAGAATTGACGGATAGTTATGTGAGTTACACGAGAAATATGAGTCATTGGGTAGGTATGTGAGCGCCATGTCTGAGGAGCAGTTTTGTGAGTACCAGGCTCTAAGGGACAGTTATGTGAGTGCCAGGTTTATGTGAGTGACAAGTCCATGGGGCAGTTATATGAGTGACGGGTATTTTGAGTAGTTAAGAAAATAACTGGTGTATGGGACAGATATGTGTGTGACAAGTCTATGGGTAAGCTATGTGAGTTCTAGGTCTGTGAAGTAGTTATTTAGTTGACAGACACGGTAATATGAGTGATATATCCTGGCGGTATCTATGTGAGTTACAGGTTTGTGTAACAGTTATGCGATGGATAGGTCTATGATGCCGTTCTATCTGTGACAAGAGTATTGGAAATTTATGTGAGTGACGTGACGAGAATATGGTGCAATTACGTGAGGTACAGGTCTATGAGGCAGTTATGTGAGTGACAAGTCTAAGGGACAATTATGTGAATAAAGGGTAGGTTTATAGGGCAGTTAATTTAAGTACAGTATATGAATACGGGGCAGTTATGTGACTGACATTTGTATGGGGTAAGATCTGTGAGTGACTGGTCTATTATGTAATAATAGTATGGAGCAGTGACTGGATAGTTATATGAGCGACAGCCCTGTCGGACAATTTTGTAAATGACAAGACTTTGGTCAGTGTAAAGTTTACAGGTGTCCCTTGACCTGAGACTGGTCATTGTAAAGTTTACAGGTATCTCTTGACCTGAGACTGGTCAGTTTAAAGTTTACAGGTGTCTCTTGACATGAGAATAGTCAGTGTAAAGTTTCAGGTGTCTCTTGAGACCCACAAACTGTGTAATACTACTACTACTACTATTACCTTTTTTTTTTTTAACGTGGCCTCCAGCCTCTCCCAATAGCCACACCTTCTCGCCATTTTATTACCTTAATATTAAATATCCAAATACAAGAGTAGCTATATGTGTGACATGTCTGTGGAGGAGCTATGTGAATTACAAATATATTAGGCTACAAGAGTAGCTATCCTATCTGTGTTGAATTAGTTGAGCCGCAGATCTATGCGGCATTCAGTGACTGTAGCCTCATAGTCAATATCTGCAGCTGTTGTCTGCATTGGGGCAGAAGCTCTCGTTCCCCGGGGGCAGAGCAAAGCCGACCGAAGGAGAGAGAAAGACAGTCGACATCTCATCCAGGCTGTAACATAACTTCTGGGCTGCTGCTTCTGTTCGGAGATCACCTCCGCGAGTCTGGCGTAGAAACATCTTGCACTTGGTCCCATCCCACCAGAGGTTGTGAACACTAGAAGAGTGAAGCTGCCTTGATCAACGTTTTGAATTCTCTCCCTATATGCCCTTATCTTGTAGTTCTCGTTCCTCCTGTGTGCAGCATCGAGAACTAGGTTACGGTGACATGCGGCCATGGGATCAAAAATCCTGATGTTGAAGAAAGCTCGCTGTCCCCGCGTCCAGAATCCTCGAGCACTGACGTCAACATGGGCTTCGTTAGCTGCGTTTGAAGTCCTGGAAGGTCTCACCGTCCAAAGGAAGGAGGGTCGGTTCTACCATGACATCCCGGCAGATTTCCTTCAGCATATTTGCTGTGAGGTTCCTTACTTCGTCATGCCTCATGCATATGAAGCCCCCTTTCTTGCACACCATGGCATGATCGACGTCATAGGAAGAGCCACACACGCATTGGGAGGGCCAACCGTACCTTAGAGCAATGGCATCTGTAAATTCTTGTTTATTGAGACTGGAACCATTTGCCCTTATCGGTAACGTAGTTAACCAGTTCGAGGCGCCCACCTCCTGCGCTATAGCTACTTTTTTTTCAAATTCTCTGGTATTAGCAGCAATAGTTGCTGCAGCTTGTCACTTTGGCCGTGCTGTTACTCCTACTACTACTACTACTACTACAAATAATAATAATAATAATCGACTTATTGAGAAAACGTGTCAGGCAATAGGCTGAAAATATACAGTAAACAGAGATATGAAACAGATTACATAATACAGGGGTGGGTTATTTGATTAGCAAATAGTATACAAATGACATTAAGTGGTACAATTATAATGTGTAATAGAAAGGCAGAGAGAGTCATTTAGTAAGGAATTTCAGAACAGTAACAGAACACAAGAGAGATTGGCAGTGAGTTATTGATAATGTTTACAATGATTTGAATTGGGCTGTTTTTATAGTGATCAGTACGTGGTCGTATGGACTGGGAGCGATTATAGGTTAAACATAAATTCGCGGACGAGGGATTTCGAAATTGGAGCAGGGGACGCTACCGAGGATGGTGCAGAAGCTTCTCCCCAAACTTACAGATGAGGTCATGGTGATGATCAAAGAGAGCTCAGAGGTGCCAGCCGAATCAAAGTTACATTCTGGACCCCATTTAAGCTTAATGTTTTTCTTGGTTAAGTGAGGAAGTATTGTGGTCATCAGTACACAATGATCATTCTCTAGAAACAATCTGTTGCTGCTAAGAAATGGTTTACTTCACTGGGGGAGTCATAATTTATAGTGTACCCATGTAATAAATGGCTCTACACTCGTGGTTTACTTTACTTGGAGAGTCATAATTTAGTGTAACCATGTAATCAATGGCTCTACACTAGTGACTTACTTCCCTGGGGGAGTCATAATTTATAGTGTAACCATGTCATCAATGGCTCTACACTCGTGGGTTACTTCCCCAGGAGAGTCAGAGTTTATAGCGTAACCATGTCATCAATGGCTCTACACTCGTGGCTTACTTCCCCAGGAGAGTCAGAATTTATAGTGTAACCATGTCATCAATGGCTCTACACTCGTGGGTTACTTCCCCAGGAGAGTCAGAGTTTATAGTGTAACCATGTCATCAATGGCTCTACACTCGTGGCTTACTTCCCCAGGAGAGTCAGAGTTTATAGTGTAACCATGTCATCAATGGCTCTACACTCGTGGGTTACTTCCCCAGGAGAGTCAGAGTTTATAGTGTAACCATGTCATCAATGGCTCTACACTCGTGGCTTACTTCCCCAGGAGAGTCAGAGTTTATAGTGTAACCATGTCATCAATGGCTCTACACTCGTGGGTTACTTCCCCAGGAGAGTCAGAGTTTATAGTGTAACCATGTCATCAATGGCTCTACACTCGTGGGTTACTTCCCCAGGAGAGTCAGAGTTTATAGCGTAACCATGTCATCAATGGCTCTACACTCGTGGGTTACTTCCCCAGGAGAGTCAGAGTTTATAGTGTAACCATGTCATCAATGGCTCTACACTCGTGGGTTACTTCCCCAGGAGAGTCAGAGTTTATAGCGTAACCATGTCATCAATGGCTCTACACTCGTGGGTTACTTCCCCAGGAGAGTCAGAGTTTATAGCGTAACCATGTCATCAATGGCTCTACACTGATCTAAAAGCCTTAACTCCTAATCTACATTCCACTTACCAACTGTCACAAAATTTATTTTATGTCATTAGAGTGACATGAGGGATATGACAACTGAGTGACATGAGTTATAATTATGACAGCTGAGTGACACGAATTATATGATAACAGAGTGATATGAATGATATGACAGATGAGTGACATGAGTGATTTGACATCCGAATGACTTGAGTAATAGGACAGCTGTGTGACATGGGTGAAATTACAGCTGAGTGACATGACAGCTAAATGACATGACTGATATGACAAGTGAGTGACATGAGTAATATAACAGTTAAGAGGCATGAGTAGTATGATAGGTGAGGGACATGTGTGATATGACAGCTGAGCAACAAGAGTGACACGACAGCATATGATATGACAGCTGAATGACACAAGTTATGTGACTTCTGAGTGAAATTAGTGACATGACAACTAAGTGACATGAGTGATATGACAATCTGAGCGATGTGTCTTATGAAAGCTTTGAGATATGACTGCTGAGCGACATGAGTGATATGACTGCTGAGTGATATGACAGCTGAGTGGTACGTGTGATATGACAGCTAACAGATATGAGTGATATGACAGCTGAGTGATATAAGTAATAAGGCAGCTGAGTGATATGACAGCAGGGTGAAATGTGTGATATGACAGCTGAGAGATATGACAGAAGAGGGTTATGTGTTATGACAGCTGAGTGATAAGAGAGCGGAGTGATATGTGTGATATGACAGCTGAGTGATATGCGTGATATGAAAGCTGAGTGATAAGTGTGATATGACAGTTGAGTGATATGAGAGTGGAGTGATATGTGTGATGCGATAGCTGAATAATATGTATCTTGTGACAGCGGTGTGATATGAAAGCTGAGTAATATGCATGATGTGACAGCTTAGTGAAGTGAGTGATATGACAGCTGAGTGATATATGTGATATGACAGCTGAGTGATATGTGTGATATGACAGCAAAGAGATATTTGTGATAATTATGATATGTGATTGATATGTGTGTGATACGACAGCTGAGCGATATGTGTGAAATGACAGCTGAGTGATATGTGTGATATGACAGTTGATTGTTGTGAGTGATATGACATATGAGTGATATGAGTGATATAACAGTTGAGTGAAATGTGTAGTATGGCAGCTGAGTGATATGTCTGAAATGAAAGCTGAATGATAAGTGTGATATGACAGGTGAGGCATGTGACAGCTGAGAGATATGAGTGATATGACAGATAAGTGATATGTATGACATGACAGCTGAGTGATATGTGTATTATGACTCCTGAGTGATATGACAGCTGAATGATATGTGTGATATGAC